TTACCTTGTTCATACAAGGTCAATTAGAGTATAAAAAGATTATACAAAAGGACATCTCCTTATGTGTCAACTGAATAAAAACACAAAATATGACATAAAATAATTTCTCTTTACTTATATTTATAGTCAATTAAATACAATTAAAGCAATCTCTGTTAATGGTGGAAGGCATAGCATATGTGATATAAGAACTTTATCGTATTTGTAAACATTTTTTAAAAATACACCCCACATCAAGGAACTAATTTGGAGCTAAAACACATAACATAAAATTTGCCACTTTAAAGTATATAATGTAAAAAAAAAATTTTTCAGTATTGGGGACTGAACATAGGTGTTCTATTATGGAGGTAAATCTCTAGTCCCTTTTATTTTTTATTTGGAGACAGGTTGTAGCTAAGTTGCTCAGACTGGCCTTGAACTTGTGATCCTCCTGCTACCACTTGTTTAGCTGAGATTACAGGCATGTGACACTGTGCCTGGATAACTAATTGGTTTTTAGTATATTTACAAGATTTGCAACCATTACTACTGTCTAATTTCAGAACATCTTTATCACCCCCTCAAAATACCCTGTACTGATTAGCAACTTCTCTCCATCTTCCCATATCCTTTGGCGGTTGCTAATCTACTTTGTTTTTATGGATTTGCCTTTTCTAGACAATTCATGAGAATGGAATCATACCATACAACATAGCATTTTTGTGACTGGCTTCTTTTACTTAATATATGGTTTATAAGATTTTTTACTGTTGTAACATGTACCAATATTTCATTCCATTTTGTGGGTTAATTATATTCCACTGTATGCAATAATATATTTTGTTTGTCCATTCATCAGTTGTTTCCACATTTGAGGTACTATGAATAATGCTGCTATGAGCATTCATGTACAAATTTTTGTACAGGTATGCTCATTTCTCTTGGACATATACTTAGGAGTGAAATTGCTGGGTCACATGGTAATTCTGTCTGATAATTCTATCTTTGACTTCTTAAGGAATAGCCACATTATGTTCCACAGGACTGCACCATTTTATATTCACACCAGGCAGTGTATGAAGGTTCTAGCTACTCCACATCCTCACCAAATCTTATTATCATTTTTATTATAGTCATCCTAGTAGGTATGAAGCATTATCTCTTTTTTTTAGTTATACTTTTCTAATGGTTAATGATACTAAACATCTTTTCATCTTTTTTATTGGCTATTTGTATATCTTCTTGGGAAAATGTCTATTCAAGTTCTTTTCTCTTTTTAAACTATTTTTTTCCATTTGTTTTGTTGAAGTGTGAGAGTTTGAATTATATTTCTTTCTTTCTTTCTTTTTCTTTTTTTTTGAGATGGGGTCTTGTTTTGTTGGTCTCTCAAGCTCACGGACTTAAGTGATTCTGCCTCATTCTGTCAAGTAGCTGGGATTACAGGTACCACCATGCTCTGCTTTAAAATGTCTTTTTTTCCTTTTTTTGATTATAATTATTAGTGCATATTAACTGTATAATTATTTAGTTTCATTTTAATATGAAATATATTCTTAAGTGGTTAAATTTCACTGAGAAAGAGCCAGAGAGAAGGCTGGAATAAATTAAGAAAAAAGTGAGTCCTTGAATATTGTTAACCTATTAAATTTTCTCTTGTTTTAATCATTTTTTAACATCTTTTTCCTACCAAAACCTTCTTTATGTCTTTTGATCCCTAAAATTACTACAGGCATCTGCATCTTTCTCATCACACAAGGTATTAATGGTATGGTACTCATCTTTGGTTTCTACTTTTTAATCTCTTCAACTAATCTCATTACTACTATGTAGTCACTCACTATAATGTGGATTATATCTATATTCAGGCTTTATTTTTCCGTGGCCAGAGACATACAGATCCTCACTGGACCATACCTAGCTACCTTCTTACTCCCACTCTGTTCTCTAAAACCATTCCATGCTGATCTTATATATCTTTCTCTTGTAAAACTGAATATGTCCCTTTCCTGTTCAAAAGCTTGTAACACTATTTTTCCCACTCCCTATATTATAGACAAACTAATTTAAAGGTTTCTCTCATGTTATTGTAATTATTAATGTGCTTCATTGTCTCTGTCATGAATTTTAAGTTTTAAAAGCAATTAATGCCCAAATAGGAATTCATACAAGTAAAAATGTTCAAAGAAATGAAAGGTAGCTATGCCATAAAAAAGAAAGATCTTCAGTGTGGTTTTTATTATTTGAAATCTGTGGGGACAAAGACATTGCAAAAAAAATAAAACAAATAAAATTACAATTGGATTAAGACTACTTGAAACATTGAAGACATACATTTGCATTCTGTAAGTTAAAATTTTAGACCTTTTAGTTCTCATGCACTTTTGCCTAACAGCAGCAGTAGGTATTACTCTGCTGTGTAGTTTCACACTGCCACATGGCAGAACTGCTTTTTATTTTGTGGTATATGTTTTATCAATATAAAATTTTATCAAGTGAATGCAGATTAATTTTTAACACAAAAACAATTATATAGTCCTATCCTTAAGCAAAAGACAAAACCGCAGGAGTAGATTCATCCCTATGACTTCAGAATTCTATTACACACAGCATCCAACACAGGTGGGACATAAAAGGAAAGTTTAACTATAATTTTATCTTTGGATTATTATAATATTCAATCACCAATATTGAATTAATTAGTAGGTTTTTTTAGGGAATGTGCTTAATTATTCCACAAATCAAAATCACATAATACATAATTATAATACGGTGTAAGCTATAAGCTAAACCAAATATGTGAATGAAGATATTTACAATATTGCCCACACAATCCTGTGAGCATAACTCATACTCTAAAAATACTGGTGGGCAAAGAAAAGGTTTTCTAAAATCCTAGACAAATATAATTGCTGGGATTGTGAGAGAAGAAAAGAAGGCTAACAAAAACAAGAGATGTTTTCTATTTTATAGATTTTTCTCTTGGGCATAATTATAAAGTGACATTCAAGTGCAACCAATGAAGTTCCCCCTTTTTTTTCCTCTCAAAATCCAAAGACATCAGCAAAATCACCTATGTCAGTAATAAAAATAAAAAGTCTTTGACTTTTTAAATGTTATCATACTGTCACAGTGGAATAAAATTAGCTTGAAAAATGATCTAAAGGCACATGATGCAGTTCATTATGTATAACAGCAACAGCAGCGGTTTCCCAGTGTTCATAAAGCCTGCTCCATTAAATTTACCTCCAGTCAATAATTAGGAGTCCACAAATAAACCTGGGCAATTAAATCAATACTACCAGGCAATTATATTCCAGAGTCCAGGCTCAGTGGCACAAAAAGGCACTATATCAAACTGCAGTATTAAGCAGTCTGATGCCATTTTCAATGCGATTTTTTTTTTTACATTAACTGGACAGAATAAGCATATATCTAGATAATGTAGAATGTGTGTATGTATCTCCACATGTATTAGTCAAAAAAGCATAAGCTTTAATAAAATTTAATAAAGATTTACACACACATTGATTTATTACTTTTTATGGCCATAATTGATGATAAAATCCCTAATTAAAATAAATTAAAAGAAATGCAAGGTCATATTTACAAGGTGAGTACTTTAAAAATTCATTAAAAAGTTTATTTTTATCATTTTCAAGCTAAAATAAAAAGAAAAAAAAATCTCATAACAGTCATTACTATATGCTCTGACATGCCAAGCCTTGGACTGGGTTCTGGGCATACAAAATAAAAAATGGCTTCTCTTCTATAAAAGTTTTTGTTTAGCAACCATGTATCTACACTTAATAACTTTAAGCAAAAGATTGTTAATCACCCTCTATTATTTTTGAAGTGTCTCCAGATAATGTTTCAAAATATATAAAATTGATATTACAATATGAATAATTTACATATTTTATACTTATTGGCTTTACCAAAAGCACCGAAACTGCTATTTTTAAAAATAAATGTAAAATAATTGCTATTTTTTCAGCTATATTTTCAGTTTCTATTTTTATTACTTACAAGGAAAACATTTAAGTGTTTTTCCAAAAATCACAAAGACAATATTTTTGCTATTTTGACAAATATGTTTTAGCTTTCATTTATTCCAGATCAGTTTTTAAATAAACAATTAGGTTGAGCAAAAAGAACAATAATGAAAAAGTTTTAGAATACATTACATGCTGTCAGTGATGTCAAAACAAAAGCTGGCTATGACTAGAAAAGCAGGGCTCTCACCTGCCAATAAACTGCCCTTGATCACTTACAAGAGGGGCGCATCCCAGCAGACTATATGTGTATTAAAAAAATACTTGAAAGGAAAGAAAAAGTATCACACAGGTCACAGCAGCAGTCTCAATAGACCCCTTAGGGATTTCAACTCGTCTTGGCCTTGTCATCCTCTATGCAGCTTTCCACTCGGCCCAGAAAATGTCGATAGGAAAATGTTTGAGGGGCCTCTGGTGGAAATTTTTTCATTCTTTCTGCATTGACAGGATGCCAAATCAATATTTACTTCCCACTAACAAGCTGCTCGAGGTCTCAGTAGAAAATATTGTACAGAATGCGGGAAGACACAGTAATAAACAGCTGTCTGGCTGTGAGGAAAACATGAATTGACTGGAAACAGGTCCACAGTAAAAGGTCACTGAAACCCATGAACTCCTCAGGTGTCCATATCAACTACTAACTTTAAAGACACATAATAAAGAATCTCTTTTCCTAAGAGGTCTGAGAGAATGGATCCTTTTCAGTCTAGCAGGTATAGAGGTTGACTCAATAATTTAATTAATGCATTTGCTAAGACCCATGTTGGTTCTCTCCCAGGGCATTTGTTTCATTTGTTAAGTCCAAAAGTACAAATAGAGGGTTAACTTTCCTGTCTACCTCTTGGAATACTTTTTTATCTAAAGAAGTAAATAATGGGTTTTTGTAAAAAAGTTAGGCATCAAGTAAAAATGTTCGGCTTGGAATTTTTCTTTGGAAGTTTTAATATATGAAGAAAAATGAAATACCTGTCCTTCTAGAAGTTTCTGAATGTATAACAGCCATTCCTTGTCATTTTCAGTTTCTATCTTTATCTTTTCAATTTCCTAAAAGAAATAAAAACACCTGTGTTAATTGCATGTCTGTGAACTTGGGTGACATTATTAGGTATTTAATAAATTTAGGGAGTTATCAGTAGAATAATTTTCAACACAGTAGTCTCTCCCCTCAATGTAGGAATATTAATGCATGCTTTTTAATATTTAACTTGCAAATATTTATACATATGTTGAAGACAAAACTATACTTCTATATTTCATAATAATTTAGGAATACTTCACTTTGGCTTTCCTGGTAGAACTCAAGGTATGGACTGAGATGGGAATGAAAGCAATTTTGAAAAAATAAAAAAGAAGATGGTATTGTAAAAAAGAATCATTTTCAAGTGATTCTCACAACATAAATCCTTATGTTAAAAAAATAACTTATCCAAAATAACTAATTGTTATACTTACAAATTGATAGAACATGCCTCTGACATATTTAAATGCTTGTTGATTTAAAATATTCAATAGTTCCTGATAGGCAAGGGATACTCCAACTTTAAGTGCTATAAGTCACTATTTTCAACTCGTCAATTATCAAGATAAAATATTTCTGAAATTATATATTCACAAGTACATTTGATTAATTAAAATCATAGTTAAGATCTTTGCAAACAAAGGGGACTTTCCAAAAGGAGAAGTATTTGAGAAACTGTAACATCTGTTTAAACTTACTATATGCCAGGTAGCATGCTAGGCACTTCACAGAGGCTATCACTGTTTTTGACATGAATCTATTACAGTTTGATGCAGTTTAAAGAACATAAGTTAGGAGGTCTGGGCTCTGCTTAGGTAAAACACTGAACTCTTTAGATCTCTAAAAGATCAGGGATGAGACTAAATAAGTTCTGGTTTACAATTACATATGGTAAATATACCAGGGTGAACTGATCCTTCTTAGAAGAAAGTGTTTATATTTCAGTCTTATTTCCTTTTAGGAGAGGCTTCATTTAAGGTAGTGTGGATGCAATATTGCAGTGCTATGTGCTCTGGGTTTAGATTGCATTTGCCCAGAGACAGAGGTGCCATTTCTTCACCAAAAAAAGCATCATCCAGTCTATGGGACTATAATAAGAGACCTTTTCTAAATAATATATTGGAGGGGTACAACTTTTTCTAATTTGCCCATTCAAAGCGGTGTTTTCCTAAATTGTCAGCCCCAGGGAGGTTAACTTTTAAAGACCAAACAAAGGCAGTGGCTCTATGTTCCAAAAGAGGTACATGTTTTTGTAAATGAAATGCATGTGTTCATGTGCATACACACGTGCATGGGTAAGCACACACACAGACACAGACATACACACAGAGACACACCTACACAAGGGGTTTTGCTAAATGTGCATGTTAAAACTCCGAAGTAACAGTATATAATGAAAAATAATAATGAAAAACAGCCAAAAATTAAGGTTGAGGCCTCTAAGTTTTTCATTATTAATCAGCATATTTTAAGTTAAATTTAAATTTATTTAAAATTAAATCTCTCTAATAAAGAATGGTTAATACCCTTGGTAGAGGTATCATTATCTTCCATGTGTCTTATTTGAAAGTACTACTTCAAAGTTCAGAATTTGGTAGAAAGTCATAAACACTGTGACATACTAAAGATAGAAATCTGATAATTCACTTTCTTATTCACCCATTGGATAAAAATAATCTCCACAGAATTCCTTTGGCCTCCTTTCAAAGAATTCTTGGAAGTTAAAAAGCCTTCACAAATTGTAGATATGCTCTACTCCAGATCTTGTAGAAGCTGTTGGGGCTGGAGGATAACCTCATACAAACATTTAAGTTTATCATTTTATCTCTTCATTTGGGTAAATATCTATTGGGATATCCTTAGTGCTATCATATCTTTAATCTTTTCAAACAATAAAAAATCTAATATTGATGTTAAAGTTTAGAGGCAGAACAAGACCAAACATCCTCCAAAGGTTTCAAAGAATACAGTGCATAGACGTGATTCTACTCTTCATAGGGAGGCAACTATGTCAAAACACAGTGCTCCCCAGGAAGGATATGGTACTACTGAAGATCTGAACCTTATGCAGGTAGTTCACTCAGGAGCATTTTACCCAAGTTAAAACAGTAAATATACTTTTTCAACAATATATTTTCAAAAAATATATTGACCAACAATAACTTTGGATTAAGCCAGGAAAGCCTGTAGATTTACTACTTTTAAAAAATTTCACATACAAGATTTTTGTCTAATCAATGGTGACTCAGTATAACTAAATCCATTCAAACTGGTTTAATTAAAAATACTTGCTTACATGAAACATAATGATGAACTATATTAAAGAAAATGGAGAAGATAAGAAAGGGTAACTTATCTGAGTAACAAACAAACAATTTGAAAGATTAAATGCACCTACTCATTTCTATATCACAAGCTAAATTTTCCAAAAGGTCTTTTGAGTTGATTAATACTCAAATGTATACTCAAATGTTGTTGGCACCTTAACATTCCTGTCTTCATGAATATATTCTTAAAGATTGAGTTCTGAGAACAAAATTAAAAGACATGTACTTAAATAAATGTTGAATTATCCTGTTATTAAAAGATATTTAAATGATCTTACCGATTCATCTTCTGTCTCCAATATTTCCTCTAAGTCTGACCGTGAAATGTTCAGGATAGAAGCTGCCAGGGTCTGAGCTTTCTGGGCTGAGGTTTTACAAGTGTTCCTGTTTTTCTGTAGTTTTTTAAGCTCTCTGATTTGTTGCCTTATCACATAGACATCATTTTCTAACTCTTTCACCAAAGCCTGCAATATATTAGAAAGAAAGTGAGCTTTTATATGGAAATTATAATGAAGACAAAGAGTCTAAACATAAAAATGTGAAAATACTGGCTAATATTTTTTCAATATTTTATTAGTTGTTGGTGGACCTTTATTTATTTTTATGTGGTGCTGAGAATTGAACCCAATGCCTCACACATGTTAGGCAATCACTCTACCACAGAGTCACAACCCAGCCCTAGCTAATCTTTTTTTTTAAGAATTATTCTAGTTTTATTTGTTTTGGAATATAACAGATTGATACTTACATCATGTCAATATGCAAAAACAAACAAACAAACAAACAAACCAAAAAACCTCTCTTAAGTGACTTAACCAATTTGCTCTCCAATCTCTCTTTCAATACATCATCTGTTATCTTGATTGTGAATGATTATAGCAAGCAGGCTACTTTTAGTCATAATTAAGCATATTTACTCTGCTAGTTGACCTGACACCAAAAATCAGTTCTATGAATTCCTAAATGTGTATGTATGTGTGTGTATGTATGTGTGTGTGTGTATATATATATATATATTAGTTGACATAATTCATTTAATTATTACATAAGCTGATGAAAGATGATGAGAAAGAAGCATTGTTTCTGTTTTACTAAAACTGAATTAGACATGGCTTTGGAAGGACTTGAGAAAGACAAGTAGGGTAAAAGTTCCATTAAATGAACTGAGGGCAAGCCAAGCAATAAAGGATTGAAAACAAATCCTAAAAAAGCTAGGATTGCCTCACCAAAGTCTCTAAATTGCCCCTTTGAGAAATCAACAAGTGCAAAGCTATACCACTCCTACATTTGCGTAAGAGACTCTTTACTTGGATGGAGAGTTCTGTGTCTAACTGCATGGCCTTGTGAGCTGAGAGTAGGTTAGTTAGATGTTGGAGCTGTTTTCAATCCTTTACTAGCTCACTGCAGTAAATAATTGTGCTCATATAACTGTAATTTGATAGCTGTTACTTAATTTTATTTCCATTTCTCCTCCAAGGCACTACCAATTTATACCTCTTCATGAAAGTACCTGTTTCTCCACACCATTAGCAAATCATCTATCTAATGTTTCAATGTAGTATTTGATTTTTAACTGGTTTTTTTTTTTTTGGTGGTATCAGGGATTAAACCCAGGGGTGCTTAAGCACCCTTTTTATTTTTAGATGGGTCTTTCTTAAGTTGCTTAGGGCCTCCCTAAATTACCAGGATTGGCTTTGGACTTGAGATCCTCCTGCCTCAGCCTCCTGAGCTGCAGGGATTATGGGCCTGTAACACCAACCCAGGTTGACATTTTCATTGTACTTTAAAGTTTCATTTCTTTTATTATAAAGAAGTTGAGAATCAGCCTTGAGATAATAGTATTTTCTTTGTCATTTTTTTTTTTTTGCTTCTCTTGATAATGTGTAAGAGTTCTTTACAAATTAGGGAAATTATATTTTTCTGTTTTATGTATTTAATTTTTCATAATCTGTTCTTTTTATTTTGACAATAATAGGGTTTTGTACCAAAGAAAATATGTTTAACATTTTATGGACTCTGATTTATAAATCTCTTTCTTTCTCATTTTGAAGTCAGTGGTATACTTTAAAAAGCATTCTCCACTATGAGGTATAATTAAGGCATGTTCAATTCATAATTTTTTTCCTTGCTACTTTTTGTTTTGATTTTTCATTTTTAAGTGCAATCTCATCTTTCCTCCACTGATTCCATGTGTTTTAGTTGAGTTTCTGGGATTCCATTCTTTATTAGTAAAATTTTATAATATATTTCAATTAGTGAGACTTTATAATCAATTTTACATTTTTTCCCTTTGGAGCTAGCTTTCCATCATTATCCTTCTTTTCCATATTTTTCTTGGTAATGTTTGCTTAATTTTCCATATGAATTTCAGATTAAACTTGTCTGGATCCCTGCCTCTTGCCCCAAGTCTTACTGCTAATATTATTTGAGTTATGTTAAATTTTATTTGGATAACTTTAACATTAATTTTTTAGTTGTAAATGGACACAATATCTTTTTATGTATTTCCTTTTTTAAAAAATGGGGTGCTGAGGATTGAACCCAGTGTCTCAGACATTCAAAGCAAGTGCTTTACCACTAAGCTACAGTCCCAGCCCTAATTTTGGCATTTAAAGATGCTGAGTCTTCCTAATCAAAAAACAATGTGTTCTTTTCCATTTGTTTAAGCCTTTGTTTTGTTTCTAAGCATTATTTTAAAGTACTCTCTTTACAGATCTAGTTTACTCCTGGGCATTTTGTTTTATTTTACTCTGGAAGCTTCTAATACTGATTATAGCCTCTATATACAAAGACTGTTAACATATGTTTAGCATACTGACTTTTCTAATTTGTTAGGAGTTTTTTTTTTAGTAATTTCCTCTTTAATGTCTTCTAATTCAATCATTTCTGAAAAGAATGATAATTTTATCTCCTATTTTCCCATTTATTAAACTTCCAGTTTCTTCTTATTTTACTGATTAAGTTTTTCTTAACAATATTAAATAGCAATATTGATGGATATACTTGACTTGTTCCTGCTTTAAGTGTGGATATCTTTATTTCATAGGAAACACTATGCTAAGTTTGAGTTGCAATAGCTAGATTTTAATATGTTAAGAAATTATATTTTATTTATATTTCTTACAGAAATAGATTCTATATTATCTGAAACCCATTTTAGCAATCATAGAGACTATCATGTTATTTTCCATATAAGTCTATTATATAATTATTAATAACTTTCCTAATTTTGAATTGTCCTTGCATTTCTAGAATGAACTTCAATTGGTTGTAGTGTATTATTTTTTGATCTGTTGCTGAACTCTATTTGTTAATACTTTATTTTTTTGCACTGATATGAAATTGAACCATTTTTATTTTAAACTATCTTCCAAAAAAGTTTGGATGATACCCTTTTTGTTTTTCTGTATTCTACAGTTGTTTTAATGAAACCAAATTTATCTGCTGTTTTTTACTTATGTGATTGCATTTGACCTAGTATTTATTGCAGGGGAAGGTAGCTTTTTGATAATTAGTTTTGATTTTCTGTTTGCTCAGGAGTGAGATTTGATATATTTTCCTAGAAAAGTATCATTTCATATCTTTCAAATTTGTCTGCAGAGTGTTGAGAGTGTCTATCATGATTTTTTCCCCCTGCATCTATGGTTATTTTCACTTCTTTCCTTGAATGGTTGTGCTTTCTTTTTCCTAAATTAAGTAAGCTAAAAGTTTATCCATTTTATTGCTCCCCACAAATTCCTAAATTAATTTATTAATTCTATAGATTTTAATTCATTTATTTTTATTTTATCTTCAGATTCTGGTTGTTTTCATATAGTTTAATGCTTATTTTCATTTCCTCTTCTCTAATTTTATTAATTTAAATATACAAGGCTATAAAAACTTCTTGAGCACTGTTTTAACTGTATTGTATAGGTTCTGATAATTCTAGAGTATTTTTCTTGTAGGGATATTCTGCAATTTTTCAGATTTCCTTTTAATGTAAGAACTGAGTTTTTAAAACCTAGATGTTAGTGACTTCTGTGGTTTTATGAGCAATTTCAGTTTTTTTGCATTACCTACACTATTTATAAACAGTTTATTTATATGTAAGTATTAATGTTATTTGTACTGTAAAAAGAAAATTTATTATTCATATCTTTAAGAATTAAGATTTTTTTTAAAAAAATGTATCTCAATTTGAAATACCCCAAAAAAAAATTGAAGTGAAGATCTGTGTGCAGAAACTTTATGGGGGTAATACTTATGAATCATAACACCATAGGGAAGTAGAATGAGAGAGAAGGAAAAGTTTAACAGCATTATAGTTATTTATCTTTTCAAGTCCAGAAAATTTACTAGAATATATCTATGGCATAGCATATTAAATCAGTTTTCCCTGGTTAATTTTATGTTCTTTTAAGTCTATTTCTGAAAATTATTTTTTGGTTATACCTTTCAATATATTTGTTGTAGATTTGTTCTTTGAAGACTCCAATTATACATATATTGAATCTTTGTCATGTGATCAATAAATCCCTTTGTCATCATAATTAGAATGAAATAGTGTATAGATTTTAAGAATTTGATGAGTTTGGAAAGATGTATCCATCTGTATGACCACCAACCTGCTCAAAACATATAAAATCTTCATATTCCAGAAATTTCCCTGTTGCGCTTTCTTAATCATCCCTCCAACACAAAGCAATTGTTCTCATTAATGATCTTAATTGCTTGCTGCTTTGATGATATATAAATGTAATAATATACTATGTATTTCTTACAATCCTTCATGTCTAGTTTCTTTCAGTTAACATGGCATTTAAAAAATTCATCCACATTGTTCTTTCTGTCAGTTTTTTTCTTTTAACTTACTGTGGGAGGTATAATTAAGTTGCAGTAAGTTCAACATATTTAAAGTGTACACACTCACACCCATCAAAATATTTTTTCTGAAATAACTTTCTTTTCTTTCTTGCTTAATCTGCCAGCTTGCTTTTCTTTTCCAATAATGTCATCATTTTCCCAAGTCCTTGCTTTTATTTCTACCTTGCATTAAAAATACCTGGTACTTATTAGAAGAAATTACATCATAAATATTTTTTATTCATAATAAAATATTTTAATTTGCTCTACAGCTTCCTGGTAAAACTACTTTTCCTGTTTCTTTTCTTCTTTTTTATTCTAATATATTTGTAGAGATTTTGTGCTGAATCCTTTTCCAGGACTCATTTTGAGAGTAGATTTTCCTAAACCATCTATTGATAGAAAATTATATGGCAGAGGGGCCTGAGCTATGTTCCAGGCAAGTGAAATTTTATATATAAACTTAAGGGTTTTTTGCCCTGATGAATTCCATTCCATTGTTTTTGTGCTAGGCGAGTGTGCTCTACTGCTGAGCCACAACCCCAGCCCCAGCATTAAGTCTTTTTTTAAATATTGTTTTTAGTTGTCAACGGACCTTTATTTATTTATAAGCAGTGCT